AGGATTCCAGACAGACACAGGGGCAATGTGTTTATGAATTTATACCTGCTTTGGTGGGCGAACATTTACACATTAAGAAGGAGCCTATAGAAGGCACGGTTATCACATCTTTGTCACCTGTTGTCTCAGCACCACGTGGCACTTGTCACCAGGGATACAGGTCCCTGCACTCATGGAGCTCACAGACTTCACGATGCAACTGCTTCATGTTTTTGCAAGTCCAGAGTGAGTGAAGGAAGGAGTGGAGGGCAGTGAGGGGAGGAGCGGGAAGACTCTTTCAAAGGAGATTCTTTGAGGAGTCCTTGGGAAGTATATGAAAGTCTTCCCTGCACTGAGTTTATGCAGGAATGAAGGGACTAACAGTCCGTTACAAAGCTTTTGGTGAAAGGAGGTGGTCCTGGTCTATCCACATGCAATCATCTTCCATTTCCCCAGCCTGTAAGGAAGAGCCACTGCCACTTTGCTCTGCTAACAGGTGCCTCTGTCCAGAGGACTGTGGGAAGAAAGGGTACCTGGGTGAGTTGGAGTTTCACGAGGCACTGTTCTATCATGAAGGATTCACTGAGATTTTTGGTCTTCTCTAAACTCCAGGAATGTTCAGAGCCTTGGGCCCTCACACCCCTCAGCTGACCAGGCTCCCAAGAGCTTGCCAGTCCCGGGGAAGGTCAGGCCATTTGCTTCATGCATGATATCCACACATTCTCCCCAAATTCCCTGCTCTCCACAGGGGGAGCAGTGCTTACACGGTGCTGGTTAAATGGCTGCATTTCAAAGTTCATTCAGTTTCTTCCCCATTCCAAGAGGCAGGTCTGGGACCAGCAGAATCTCACATCTCGAGCTTGGGTTTCAGCTCCCAGTCACTCTCCTTCACACAGCTCACAGAGAGTGGACGTCCACCCAGCCTTCCTGGCCTACATGATCACGGGGAGAGCCTGTCAAAAGGTCAGCATGACACAGCAGCCCTGCTAGTCACCCAAACCTCATGTGCTAGCCATCTCTCAAATCTCTCTCCCCACCTTCTTTCTTTCCTTGCTGCTGATGCTTTAGTGTCTTGTTTGGACAAATGCAGCACTCTCCTTTCTGTTCCTCTCCTCCTATCTCTTCCGCTTCTCACCTATCTTCTTCTATACCCGAGGAAGTCAGAGAAGCCTTTCTTTTTTTCTGAGACAGGGTCTTGATCTGTTGCCGGGCTGGAGTACATGGCTTGATCATAACTCACTGCAGCCTCATACTCCTTTGCTCAAGCGGTCCTCTTCCCTTGGCCTCCCAGGTAGCTGAGACCACAGGTGTGGCGCTCCCATAACAGGATCTCCCCATGTTGCACAGGCTGGTCTCCAATTCCTGGGCTCAAGGGATCCTCCTGCCTCAGCCTTCCAAAGTGCTAGTATCACGGGCATGAGCTACTGTGCCTGGCCATGCTTGGCTATTTAATTTTTTTATTATTTATTTTTATTTTTTAGATACAGGGTTTTGCTTTGTTGCCTAGGCTGGTCTTCAACTCCTAGACTAAAATAATCCTCCCACTTTGGCCTCCCAAAGTGTTGGGATTACAGACATGAGCTACTGCACCCAGCCTGGAGAGAGCTTTCTAAGGCTACACATCCCAGCACATCACTCTGCTAATAAAGTCCAGGTAGGACTTCCATTGCCCTCAGGATAAATGTCAGCCTGCCATCATGTTCCCTTCCATGTGCAGTCTCTGGCTACGTCTTCTTGTTCTGCCCCACTCTCTGTTCTGCCCCACTACTGTCTGCCACACTGAATTAGGTTTCTGAAATGCCATTCCCTTTTTGGCCTCTTGGCCTTTCCACAGGCAACACTCTCTGTCCTATTACCTCTTTTCCGTATCTCTGCCTGGCCGATTCTTACTACTCTTCAGAACCGATTCCAGCTCCTCTATGAAGCCCTTCCTGATCCCTTGTCAAGTGAGAGACTTGATCACTCTGATGCGTGCTCACCAAGTCTTTGTTCATCATCTTCATAGGCACTCAGAAAAGATGACATTTTCCAGGCTTCCCTATCGTTCAGTTGAAGTCCCCGACAGTGTTCTTACCAGGGTGGGAGGAAGTGAGGCCTGCCGTGTCCAGGCCTGCTCATTAAGCCCTCGTGAATCACCCAAGCTGTCTTCCCTTGCTGCGGCTACTGCACAGGCCCTGGGCTTGAGACAGCAGGATCTCAAGATAGAGCAACTGGAGCGAGTCCTCGTTAAGAAGAGCCACCTGACACATTCGGACTGCGACGTGTGAAGCCCATGAGATTTCAGGATTGATTTATTACCTGGCTGTGGCCTATCCTCTTCCAGCTGATACAATTAAGTATCCCTTTCCTTGCGCTTTGGGCCTGTATTACAGCTTAAATCACACTACTAATATCGTTGTCTCCATGAGACTGTTAGCTACGTGGTGGCACTCAGTTTTCTTTCTCTCTCTCGAGTCTACTCATTCCATGGTACTGAATGTAGCTTTGGCCCCTAGTAAACATCTTTTGAATAAGTGAGGACTTTCATGCCCCCATTTGACAGTGGAGCAGGGATGAAAAGACACAGCAAGACCTAAGACAGAAAGATAAGAGCCCATATTGCCACTGGCCAAGACAGCTTGCCTGCCTTATGGGGACCAATGGGTACCTTTGGCTTAGCGGCTGCAAACTCCCTTCCATGGGCCTCATGAAACATTTGATGGAACGGCGACTCCCATGTTCCCTTAATCCACATCACACTCAACCTTTCCCTTACACCTTCTTCCAATTGCTCTCCTGCAATTTCCAGAAGTTGCTTTTATTTCATTCACTAAACAGTTTATGAACTGAATTAAAATAAATGAGATGCAAATAAATTCCAGGCTTTCTCCTTCATTTTCAAATTACATTTTCAGTCCACTCAACCTGTTATAATCTCATAGTGATTTTCATTTAAGAGAGCTAAATGGATATGTGATTGTTGTTACAGGAACTAACACCAGACAATTAAATGTTGAGGTGTTGATAGATAAAGCTGTGTTTTGATTTGCATAAACACGATGCCAGCAAATCTAACCCTGGCAGAAATTCAGTTCTAAGACTTGCGCGCCTAACTTGGGCTAATTACCACAAGTACCATTATTAAGATTTTTAATATTCGGAGTTGGGATTATAGCCACTTTATTTTAGGGCCATATTCATCTTTATTTTGAAAACTTAGTCAAAATGCATAACTGATTTATCAGAGAAAAGGCACGATTACTACTTATAATCAACTTCTACAGTGCAGCATATCAAAAATCAATTACACGGCCCTGAAATCCAGTCATTAAGGATTTAGCTACTAATCTCATTCCATTTTTGTCTTTAGGAAGATACTGTAGTTTGCAACTTTGCAGATACCAGCAGAGGAAGAAAAACATGGGAGACTGCTGATCACCTAATGTGGAGACTTGAACTTCAGCCAGACAAAGGTGGAATCTTAACATGGAGGGGGCTGGCTCTGCAGGGAGGTCACCTGGGCTGGCTGGATTTCAATCCAGTTACACAGCAAAAGTTATGACCCAAGCTTTGCCAATACCCAGCCTTCTACTCTCAGGTATTCCCAGGCATTTGATAAATTCCTTGTTCCATTGTTTACTGACTGCCTCGTGCTTGTCTTGTTCTGCAGTTATTTTTATTTATTAGTTTACTTATCTGCCCCTCTCTTTCCCATCTCCCCCCACCCTGGAGGTAAAGTGCAGGAAGTTAGAGGCTTTGCTTTATATGCCATTAGGTGCATAGCACAGTGCCTGGCTCATAGTAGGTGCTCAATAAATATGTGCTGAATTTGATAAAGATTGGGATCCCCAGTATTCATTCCCCTTCCCCAGGGAAGGGTTTAGCATGATGGTAGGAACTGTTCCCTCTCGGTGACAGATAAGTGACTGGAGCAGAATCCACATCTGCTGAGATGACCTAGATGATCATGGACAAGCAGGAAGCTATGTGACATACTGGCGAGTGAGCCAGACAGAAAGAGAGACCTGGGGTCACGTCCTGGCATTGCTCTTTCTAGCCATTGTGTCCTTGGACAGGTAATGTAGTTTCCCTGAGTCTGTGTTTTCTTATCTGAAAAATGGAGTTAGTAATAATTATCTTCGTGGGACTATTGAAAAAGTTATAATAACACAAACAAAGCATTTAACATAGAGTTTACATCACTGTAATCCTCAATAAATGTTATACACTGCTTTAAAAAAGATGTCGTGTGGGGCAAGTTGCCTGTACTGGGAAAACGAGGTTGGCTAAAACTCCCCACTGAGGTTTATTGTTACTTCCTCTTGGGAAATCTTCCCTGCACCTCTCAGGTGGAGTGACATCTCCTCTGGGATCCCATCAGACCCTGCATGTGCCTCTGTCTTTTCACTTAACCTGTGATTATCTTGTGTCTGCATATTTTATCAGACATGCAATTCCTTGAGTGCAAAGCAGATACTTTAAAATTTTTGTTCTTCCAGTACTTAGCAAATTACCCGGCACATAGTAGGCATAACACCAATTCATTGGGTGCATTGACCAGACAGTGAAATTTGAGAAAGAGAAGATGGCAAATGTGAAAAGAGGACCAAAGCTGTCTCTAGTTACAGCATAATGTAAATCCCCAGAGCAGGAAATGGCCGCCGTTTTCAGTCCTAGGAAATGGAGAACGTTTTCCCCAAGGTATGAGTCCCAAAGGGAGATGGTGTCTACCTTCTGAGCGAAGAGTTTGCCTTTTCCAGGGAGTAAAAAGAGTATTAGAGGCTATGAAGCTGGGGAACTTTCTCAGCTCTGTGAGGAAAGGGTGTATCCTCTCCCACTCTGTGGTAACAGATTGGGTGGAACCACTTACCCGGAGCTTCCTGCCAAAGATGGTGACTTTGCCTTTAATCTGCTCCTTTCTTAGGCGCCACTCAATGGAGTTTAAGCCATTCTCCATAGGCAGGGAGATGTTGCAACGCCCAATGGTGGGGGTGATGGTGCCTGCCAGGACGTGGGGCTCGCTGTGGAAGCTGACACCCATCCCATTAGCATACATCACCCTCAGGGTACCATTATTACAGAGTTGGTAGCTGTTCCGCACTTGATCTGGAAAAATGTAAGTAGGGGTGGGGATAGGGAAATAAATTATCCACTCTACTAGTCAGAAGAGAATAGAACCCTTATTTTTTTTTAAAATAGGTTTCCATGGTACTTTGCAGCCATCAGTCTAAGGCTGCCTTCAATTAGCACATATACCATGTGAAGGTAAGTAGCAGAGATACTACTGATCCATGTAAGAAAAACATAATATGTGGCACTCCAGAAATAATTATACCATGATGTTTCTTGTACTCACTGAAGACTATTGATAGCACGTTTAAACACTTAAAGATGTCTATTGCCTACACAATTTGTGTCAATCAAATTCCCAAACCTTAAGATATATATTTTAGCTTATACAAAAAAAGAAAACATGAAAGACAAATGACTTTAATTTTTTCCCCCTTTTGCCTGCTATCTAACCTAAGGTTGCTGGTATAGCCACAGGTCAGATCCACTGCAAATCAAAGCCCAGGATTTTCCAAGAAAATCAAGAGAAGAATCAACCTTCCCCATCCTCATGCTTTAACAGCTGACTGTGCCTGATACCACCTTCACTCAAGAGAACTCTGAAGAGACTCACATACAGGAGGGAGATGGAGCCAGTGGATGCTGATAATGTGTTTATCTTCCCCAATGGAAGCTACACGAGTCAATCAGACTTCTGACCTTTTCCTTTATCGAAAAGTTACAGGAAGGAAATGTGAGTCAGAGACTCCTTTTACAGATACACTGCTTCCTGATTGTCTGGACAAAGGAGTGGCCTGGGCTGGCCTCTGGGATGTCAGCTTTTGGGGCAGTGAGCAAGTGTGTACCTGTCGCTCCTGTGACTCCAGCCATCACACAGGACAGAATCTACATCATTAATCATTTGGCAGAGCAGAAATAGAGTCATTGAAACAGGCTCCGCTGTGGGATAATAGTCCAGAAATGTCACCATTTATCTACTGAGAGGACACTTTTATCCTCTGACAACACGCTAGCCCACCGACATTATATCTTAATTAAAAGAAAAATTAATAGGCGCAATTCATTTTCTGGCCAGCCCCAGTGCTTGCCCTGGGCTGCAAAACATGTCTAATAGCAACAATAAGCACGGGGTGGTCAGAGACCTTTGAGATCCCAGTCTTGGAGAGAGATCGTTAAAGAACTCCAGTCCCAGGGCAACCAACTCATCAAACAAATGCTTAAAAGAGAGAATCAGGATGGAACAAGAAAATAGGAAAGCTAGTGGTGGGCCAGAGAATAAATGGCCTTTGAGAAGATAATTATGTGTACTGGGTTGGTGGGGAGAGGTGGTGGTGGAAGGGTAAGAAGTAGGGAGAGAGGATGTGGGGAGGAAAATGGACATTTTCAGGTAACTACGTAGACAGTTCAAATATCTAGACATTGGTTGAGTGTAGGTGACATTCTACTGTATCTGATTAAGTCATTTTCGATAAGATTGACTTCTTATAGAGTTAGTTTGCTGTGGACACTTGAATAAAATGGAAAGCTGGGGGGTATGCTGGGTCCCTGCAAGTCCTCCCAGGCTCACATGTTGGGCTTGGCTGGGTTCTGGGTCTGTGGGTGAGTTGGGGGGTAGGATGGTATGGGTGGAGGCTCACCTTGTACCACTGTGTAGGATGCCTCGACTGAAGAGAGGTTGGTGATGACCGTGACATCATCATCACGATTGGAGTTCTCAATGTCAATGGTAATAGATTTCTCCATTTCCCGGTGCAGACTGGTCACCACCCCCGTGGGGCGTGTCACGTTGGTCAGGCGGCCTTCATGGTCGTAGCTGGGGGAAGAGAAACACTGGTTGGCAGCAGTCACTGGGGCTGAAAGTGTTCCCAAGACTCATAGGGCTAGAGAAAGAGAGAGCTGGGAAGGTGGGTTGGCTGGGTGGCGCATCTCAGTGAGGCCCCTGGTCACAGTCAAAACCCCATTGTGCCCTGAGAAACATCAGTGATGCTTTCTTCTACCCGCTGATGTAACTGACTTCAGCTCGTGGAAAACATTTCACCTGGTCTCAGGCTCCCTCCAGTTACAGAGTACAGAGAACAGCCACCTGCGGGCCTCTCTTGCTTTTTTTTTTTTTTTTTTTTTTTGAGACAGAGTCTTGCTCTGTCCCAGGCTGGAGTGCAGTGGCACAATCTCTGCTCACTGCAACCTCCGCCTCCCGGGTTCAAGTGATTCTCCTGCCTGTCCCAGCCTCCTGAGTAGCTGGGATAACAGGCATGCACCACCATGCCTGGCTAATTTTTGTATTTTTAGTAGAGACGAGATTTTGCTATATTGGCCTGACCTCAGGTGATACACCTGCCTTGACCTCCCAAAGTGATGGGATTACAGGCGTGAACCATGCACCTGGCCCTCTCTTGCTTTTTAATTCATGTGTTCTACAAAGCCTCCAAATTAATATTCCCAAAATATCAGTTTCACCATGTCAGTTCTCTACTAAACAAGCAACACTCTTTTCCCATTAGTTGCTCAATCAAATAAAAATCAGGCATTTGAGATCATCCATGCCCCGATTCTTCTACTGGGGTCCAATGTTGTCTCACTCGTCACCTCCTAGGCCTCTGGACAGTCAGCTTGTGCCAAATGCCACCTGCCCATGTTGGCTCAGCATAGAAGGCCTGGCTGCATGGAACCTGATCTTAGGTCCCTCAACCATCAATGGCTCCACTTCCCAAGCAGCCTTCTTAGACAGTTTCCCAGTGACTCCCTGCCATCAGTTGTCCTCAGTACCCAAGTCTAGGGACACTAGTGATCATGCCGTACTGCCTGCAAATGGCCTGACATTGGGGCCTCCTTCTTTATGTATATGTGTCAACTTTCCTCTTTTCTCACACTGTGGAGTTTTCTCTCCCTTCAACAAGAAGCCTTGTAGTTGGGACAGCCTTTCCCCACCTTGGAAGACCCACTGTACCCTGAGAGCTGGGCCCTTCTCACACCTAGGAAAGGAAAGCAGGCTCATTCCAAGGTCTGCATGTAGAGACCTCTCCCAGATGAGTCTTGTTACTGGAGGAGGAAGGGAAGGAAGAAGGCGGAGCAATGAAGACATTTGCTTGGAGGGTAAAAAAGAAAGAAAAGTGGCTCAACCCCTGGGGATTATTCCCTTTGGACTTGGGGGAGGGAAAAAGCTGGCAGGTTCTGAGGGATGGAAACTAAAGCTTGTGTAGCACATGGGGATGGGGGATCCTCCTCTGAGGATCCCTGTGGGGAGGGCCTGTTTGACGTTGTAGCTTAGGGTTTAGGATTACAACATCAAAGACAGAGGGCACTTAGGAAGTGTTTTTGGAATAAAGAAGAGCAGATCTGGTTCAGGATTTTGGGGATCTGAGTGATTTTGCTTCTGGGAAGAACTGGAAACATTGAGGCTCTGCAGAAGTTTGAAAGCTGAGAGTGCAATCACATTAAGCTGGACACCTGACTGGGTAAAGGTGCTGGGGGAGAGAGGAGGGAGCTCTTGCAGCAGGAATCACTGTGCGCTCAGGATCCACCCCTATCACTTGTCCAGGGCCCCAGGCAGGGGGTGGCGCAGACCATGCCTTCCCTGGAAAGCCCTGTGTTGTGAAGAGGGGTGGGGACTCAGGTCTGCTAAATCAACAGGGCTCCTCTGTGCTTTTTTTTTTTTAAGCGGTTGTTCATTTTTCCAAAAATTGCACTAAGGTAAAGCAAAGCTCTAGGTTATGCGGGTGTGTTGTTTAGGCGTTAGCAGTCCTGCCCTCACTATGCGCTCATTGGACAGTAGCGCAACCCCAAGAAAAGGGTGGTTCCCTCTGAGCTTTCTTATCTGGAATTAAGGTAATTTTTACCTTTCTCACCTGTCCAGGCAGGGGGACAAAGGTGCTATTTACAATAGTGACAAATTAGAACCACCTAGATGTTCCTTGATGGTAGACTCGTGAAATAACTGATGATCTACCCATAAAGTAGAAACATACGAAGCTGTCAGGACTGACAACATGGGTTTCTGTTTATTGGCATGGACAAATCTACACATGTTGAGTGGAAGAGTGGAATACAAAATACATTCCCATGACAGTAGTTTTTTTTTTTTTTTTCAGGGAGGGGTAAAAAATGTCAGTATCTATAGGTAGAAGAAATTCTCTGAAAATATAGACATTTAAATGTTAATGGTGGTTTTGCTGTATGGAATTTTGACTAATCTTTATTTTCTTCTTTGCATTTTCCCACCATTTAGAAATTACTTGTAATTGGCTGGGCACAGTGGCTCATGCCTGTAATCCCGGCACTTGGGAGACTGAGGCTGGCAGATCATGAGGTCAAGAGATTGAGACCATCCTGGCCAACATGGTGAAATCCTGTCTCTACTAAAAATACAAAAATTAGCTGGGCATGGTGGCGCATGCCTGTCGTCCTGGCTACTTGGGAGGCTGAGGCAGGAGAATCTCTTGAATCTGGGAGGCAGAAGTTGCAGTGAGCTGAGATGTGCCACTGCACTCCAGCCTGGGCAACAGAGCAAGACTCTGCCTCATAAAAAAAAAAAAAATTACTTGGAATCAATACTTTCATGTTTAATAAGCAGAAAGAAAAAGTATTTAAAAATCAGCAAATAAAGCAATTCTAAGTATTTGGGTATGGGGTGTCTAGTGCGGTACTCACTAACAGACAGCTCCTCCTCCTGCTGACAAGTACGTTCTCGGGACCAGGGCAAGGATTTTAATTTCAAACCACTGCAGTCTGGGGACACTTACAATGCACAGGCTGCTGAGCTTCCTTCTGAGAGAAGTAGTAGGAACAGAGCTTTAGGGTAGGGACTAGAATCTCATGGGCCAAAGGGAGAAAAACAGATTTTCTTTAACTTTTAAGAAGATTCGGCTGCCTCCAGCTCTACTTACTTCCCCCAAGGAGCATCTTCAGATGTAGGACTTTTTGCAAATAACTGCATGTAGGAGCAGGGCACTGAGTTCCAGCAATGGGATCTCAATGCCAACCCAATGGAACTGGCCCAGCCTTGGCTGGAGTGAGGCTGGAGGCTGCCTTTGAATTATGTAGTCAATACATATTCATCAAGAGCCTATGATGTGCCAAACACAGATCAGGGCACTGAAGATACGGCTGGGAAGAAAATGGGGCAAAATTCTTGCCCTCGTGCTGGCTGAAGAGGGCGAAACTAAACCAAGATAGGAAAAAGAGAGTATGTTAGATGGTGAGTAATAGGTACTAAGGACTACAATAAAGAACGGCGAGAGTGGAGAGAGAATAGGGAGTAGAGGGTGCAATTTTAAGTACAGTACTGTTCTTTTCAGGAATGCAAGCTGATCTTCCCTAGTCTGGGAACTTAGCAGGCATGGTAGGGTTTCCAAAGGGCATTCCCATATCAGCTGGATTTCTGCCCAGCTCTCCACTTCCGAGGACAAAGAGGAGAGAGAAATGCAACTTTTAAAGGGGCCCATTACAGCCTTCATGAATTGCATGCCAGCTTATTCTGTAAAATAACTCTTGAACCCCACTCCGTGGGAAGTCAACTTCCATCTTTTCATTTGACCTGACATTTGCTCCTTCCCCAGTTGCTGGATTGGGAGAAGGAGTTGAACATGACTAAAGAGGCTCTTTATCATTTCTCTCTTCTGGAGGGACTGCCTTTAAGGGTGATGTGTTTTTCTGCCCCTCTGAGCCCCAAGTTTGCTAAGGCAGACTCCGCTCCTGCAGGGGATGGGAGACCAGCAGGCAGTACTGGGAGGTGGGAAGAGAGCTGGAGAAACGCAAAGTGAGGTGTTAAAAAGGCCTAATGTGGTCAGGTGCGGTGGCTCACACCTGTAATCCCAGCACTTTGGGAGGCTGAGGTGGGTGGATCACCTGAGGTCGGGAGTTCGAGACCAGCCTGACCAACATGGAGAAACCCCGTCTCTACTAAAAAAAATACAAAATTAGCTGGGCGTGGTGGCGCATGCCTGTAATCCTAGCTACATGGGAGGCTGAGGCAGGAGAATTACTTGAACCTGGGAGGCGGAGGTTGTGGTGAGCTGAGATTGCGCTATTGCACTCCAGCCTGGATAACAGAAGCAA